GTTTGTACAACCAAGAGTGGAGGTTCCCTTGTCAAGACCGCTGGAAGGACTGAAACTCCAATCCTAGAAACTTTTGTGGCTTCTTTTTGCGACTTCTTTGACGTCTTTTTTAGACTGGCGGTGGTGGTGTGAGTCAGATTGAGTATGACTTTTAAAAATTAGATACGATTATCTTCTCTGTTGCGCGGCATCAATTTTAGCTTAAATATTTTTTCCGTCTGTACTGTAGTTAGCTTATGGCTGACTTAGTAATATAGGGACCAATTTCATAGATTTATCAGTCCTATTGGRATCATATATGCTTTAYAGATACGAGTGACTTTTTAGCAGGGTGTCTTTAGTCTAGCAAAGTGTATCGGATTCATARATTTGATTTCTTTTGAAAAACAAAAAATTGCTAAATAAAGTTGTTATTGATATGCAAAGTTTAAGGGGCTGTTTACATGAGGTAGGGTGCCCCTAGGTGGTAGGGCTAACTCTCTCTGTTTGAAAACCCTCAGGGAAAAGAAAACAAAGAATGTTAGCCCTTCCACCAATGGGCACCCTACCTAATGTAAACAGCCTCTTAGATTAGTTGAAAATGATAAAATGACTTTTTCTATTAAAAATAAATAAACAATTGTCTGTATTTTACTCTTTATTGTTCTTAATGTTAAACCACTTGATAGCTCTCTCAAACAGATTTATTGGAGTTAAATTGACCATAGTACATGTTGGTATTAGCAAAACTAATTCGGAAGAAAATATGAATGGAAATGTTTCTTGAAGTGTGAATGACAGGATTATCTCTTCAATCTAAAAAGAAAAACTTTCTCAGGGAAACTTGCTGATGTTTTATAAAATTAATATATCAACTTGAAGTCACCTGAAACAAACATACCTTTTAAAATTATGGATGTAGACAGACAACAATAGTTATCTTTTTAGTGGACCCATTTTCTGAAGGACTCTCTAACTCCAGGCCCAATTTATCCCTTTGGAGGAAGGGGATACCGYACACGTAGAACTCACTATGGACTATACAGGCAGCTGGGATTTTCTACAAATTCCTAGGATGAAGGACGTCTGGCCATTCAAGACCTGAGGAGGTTAAAACCATCCMAAGAAGTCGCAAAAAGAAGCCACAAAAGTTTCCAGGATTGGAGTTTCAGTCCTTCCAGCGGTCTTGACAAGGAGAACCTCCACTCTTGGTTGGACAAACATAAGAAAAACATTTYAATGGAATTGTAAATGTAGGTAAAGCCTTTGTTTTTCGTTTGAATTGAACRTCAATGAAGCAGAGTACAGCTGGGGCAATAATTCAACAAGAAAAGATCAGAATATTCTTTTTTGATTCGATCGAACCGTATGTTTGTTTTTACTCGATKCCATTTTCTTTTCGGTTGTTTTTTGTCMGTTTCAAGGMTSAAACGAKCAGYMTGVKGCCGATACCCACGATTCCTGGGTATCACGTGACCAGTCTCCGCCAGGGTCTCCCTCCCGAGCGTCGGCCATTTTGAAAATAGCGAGAAGGGAGACCCCATGGATACGAGGTTGGTGATAAAGTACRGTGGCTAGTTTGAGCGACAAACCCAGAAATCGAGGAACGAAATACTRCGACTTATGGAATCAGTCTAAAATTCATTTACTAAACATGCGATTAGAGCTGAAGTCTCGRAACAGTGAATAACCTTGCAAAAAATATCCGAAGAATGACTTTTGCTCAAAAGAATTTTTTTTAATTTGGACAGATTGTGTCTGACCTCATGTTTAGATACAACGATTTTAAAATTTTCATCAGAATAAAACGGACCGATTTTCTTAAAAACATCGCGAATGTTAATGAGCRTGTAAATCACTAATTTCTTGCATAAAATGTAATCTGTGATATATTATGTGATATATTTAACAATTAGAGCCGAAGCCCGAATGGGATACGGTTCAATAGCCCACAAGACCGAAGGTCTATAAGCTTTTTCGATTGCTGTTACCATAATTTCAATATATTTCCTTTCTTAGGATTCAATATCTTTTCAAATTTGATCGTCCATTTGAAATCCTTGACAACATGGAAGTTCTACAGAAAATGGATTTAGGCTGTGTGAATTGTAGGGACTTGGCCTCCAACCTWCCATCCTCATCGGCTGAGCATGAGTGATAGTTACTTGAAAGTTACTTGATAGTTACTGAAAAATGAAAGTATCACAAGATGCCAAATTGATCGTTTGATGTCGTCTTTKCTGTCGYTTAAATTATCACAAGTTATCAGTGAGCTATTCCTCATAAAAGTCGAAATTTGCATTKAAATAATATTCTTTTCATTGATATACTCTAAAAGCTCTTCCTCTATCATTAAGGACGTTCGTGGACATTGGACTCCGTGATGTCACTTCGATGATTTTCTTGGGGAAATACTCGATGACATACAATTGCAAAAAAGCGATAAAAAATGGAGATCACCGGCTTCATTTTAGAGATAATTCTTGCACAAAATCTCCAAAATTGGCAAAGAAAGGCGCGCGAAAAGGGGTCGTTGTCGTCTGCCAAAAACGTTCTCGGAAATCATATTAATTAATCCAAATTTTCCCCAAAGGCTGAGTTCGATAATTGTTATTAGATTTCAATTCACTAGGCTTTCTTTTGTTATTCATAGGGTTGTGTATATACGATAGAAACTTAAAGCCGGGGAGGGATTTGATATTCAGCTGGGAAATGCGGGCTTGATGAATCGAATTGAATAGCTCGTTATAAATTCAACGAGCTATATATGAGTGACCGGGATCACTCATTTCTAGCCCGCTGAATTTATAATGAGCTATTCAAGTCAATGCATCAACCCCACATTTCCCTGCTGAATATCAAATAAACTTAGTAAACTTAACGATTTTTTTCCCTAAAGAAGACCAGTGTGACGAGCAAAACTTGAGGAGATTGAGAACGTAATAATCCCGCAAGATTTCTATCATGTCCATCACCAGAKAATAACAATAAATAAGACAACMATAACCAAGATCTTCGTTACTGTAAAAATAATCTATACTTCGGAATTGACCAAGGTGTATGAATCAGAAGTAATATAGTATTTCTACTCGAGTATTTCAACTCGTATTTCTCCGCTCCTCGGCCCATTCTATCCAAGCACGTACACACCATTCGGTACTCCATTTTGTTCCTTCTTTAATCCTTCCCACGTATTAGTCTTTGAGCGAGTTCATCATCAAAAACTATTGTAATTTTTCTCGTTTTTCTCATYTGCAGACTTTGTCAGCGTTATATATTTGCGGACGTAAATGGTGAAGCTTTAAGTTTCTTTAGAGTCTGGTATTAAAAACTGTCTCTTTTTCATTTAGAAAAACAAAATAGTTATTAGATAAAGAGCATTTGAGTCATCTACTTTTTGGTTTTGAAATATCCTTTATAAGTGAAATTATGTAAATTGTTCAAAMAAATACAGATCAAGATCAACAAAGGCAAAATTAAAAATAATGAAGTCACTTCAACCATTAAATTGTACAACTACTGCAAATAAGGTCAAATATCTGACAGAGTGCGAATGTGCGATCCTGCACTATTTGTCTAAAATCGCACTAAATCGCAYAGTTTTCGATTTTCCATATAATGTACCAAATACAAAATAAAATCCGGTGAATCTGTCTTGTATACTCAAATTAACTTACAATTTTGCCATTTCTTGACAAAAGACAATGTTATTTAGCMAAATTCTTGCAGATTTAGCCTTCTAACAACAAAATCCCGGCACAGGCGTTCATGCAATGAAATGATTTTGACAGTCTTTTGCAAGATGCACTATGCAGTCTTACTTGAAAAGCAGGACATTTCAGAATCTTTTACACTTTTTTTTGCTCTGGTATCGATCCAACATCAGTGAACTATAAGTTTAATACATGAACTATAGATTTTGTATAATCCGACACTGAAAGTCAATCAGGTTTGGGTTCCCTGTGGTCGAGGAAATATATGATTTTGGGTATCGCGATCAGAATACGTGTCTGGATTTCTAGCTAGTATTCAGAGGTATTCTTAATATGATTTTGAGTATCGCGATCAGAATACCTCTGGACTTCTAGTGTATTCGTAATATGAATTTGAGTTACGCGATCAGAATACGTCTGGACTCCTAGTATTCGGAAGTATTCGAAATAAGTTATAGGAACATTCGTTAAGAATATGTCTGGGATGTAAAGAATKCTTAATAGTCACGTGAGTTCTTCAATTATTTGGTTGGTAATGGTTTAGACAAATTGAGGTTTTTCTAGGATATTCAGGTTGAATACGTCGAAAACTAAAAGTATGCGAGGATGTACGTATTGCACTACGTAAAGTCAGTCGAGAATATGAAGGGCGAAAAAGGAAAAACTGGCTGGATTCGTCCAGAGTGATTCCAACGTGTCGTCACGCGTATCTACTTGAATATTTCTGAATACGTGAAATATACGGGTCCGTTTTCAAGAGTATTCTTTTCGAATATTTGCCTTTTGGCACAGTGGCGTGCTTTGGTAACAAATTCCTCTAATGACATTTCACTTTGTTTGAGAGAGCGAAGTTGGAATCTTGCCGGAATATGATTGCTCTTGTGCTTTGTGCAAGCTTCTAGATGTTGATCGTCGCCATCTTTGCCCCTTTCAGCTGTGTTATAAATTTCAAGGCCCTTGTCGCCGATCCAGAGTAGCAAAAAAGCCCATTGCTTGTTTCTCTAGTGGTCCTTCAGATATTAAGTCACATTTTTGCTTGAAAAAGCTGAATCTATGTGTCGCCTGGACTTGTCCAATCCATCGACGGTGTTGTGAAAGTGTTCGCCATAGTTTTGCAGAGGCTTGAAACTTGAATTTGAAGTCGAAATACTTGAATTGAACTTGAAGTCTGGAATTTTTAGAGCATTTTGAACACTTTTTACCTTTATCTCAAAGCGTTAAAAATAATCATAATTAAATATTAATTAGTATAAAAATAACGTCTTTTGGCGGGCCAAAAGATATGATTTAAACCAGGTCAAAGCAGTATCTTTAAATCCAAAGTAGGAAATAATGTAGGCGTTTCAAGAGAATGTCATGATCAAGGGTATCGAATGCACCAGTCGAGAGATCTAGYATTACGAGTATGATATCATTCCGTGAATCGARAGCCTTTAGAATATCGTTGGTAACTAGCACAAGTGCGGTCTCCGTAGAGTGTTGCGGACGATAGGCAGATTGAAAGGAAGGAAGTAGGGCATTTTCATTGAGATAGTCGTAGGTCTGGATGGTAACAAATGTCTCGATTACTCTAGAGATGAATGTGATGTTTGCCACTGTACGATAACTCTGGAACAACTCAGTGTCAAGATCAGGCTTCTTACGCTTGKGTCAAACAACTGTAGTCTTAAGTGACGTAGGGAATTTACCATCTTTAAGTGAGGTACGTAGAATTGGTGCAATAGCTGGAACCAGTTGTTGTAGGTTTTTTTTGTTTATTTGTTTGTTTGTTGTTGTTGCTGTTGTTGTTGTTGTTGTTGTTGTTGTTGTTGTTATTGTAGGTGTTGCATGTTTGAGCCCAGATGTGGGAATAGGATCAAGATTACAGGTCTTGGATGATATTGACTGTATAATGTCTATGATATTGGAATCAGATGGTTTAATGAAGTTAGAGAAACCACATGGCAAGTCTCAATCTTCAGTAGACGGTGGTGCAGAGCTATTAAAATTTGTTCGGATATCAAGGATCTTGTTGATAAGGAACAACTTGAAATCATCAGCGATCGAGTTTTTCCTCCGCATTGCATTTAAGATGGACAATTATTTCCTTGGTCGATCTCACCAGTTTTTGAAGTGTGATATCCGCAGAACACAATCTTTTTAGGCAACGCATTYTCTTGTTTGGCATGCATCAAAATCTTCACTGTAGAACTCATGGTATCACATGAACGTGGAGTGAGCATACGCGGATTTTTGCTGAACTTCAGTGATCGAATATCTTTTCTTGAATAGCTCTTCAAACGAACGCAAGTACAATCAAGAACTGAAAGAGAAACAAAATAAAGCAAAAAGACTTGAGGGAGAMCGTATTTGTTAGTCAATTGTGGTGTTACCGACAAATAAACTACGATACTATTATATATAGTAAATATACAAATAACAATGATAACTGTCTTACTAATTTTCCGTGAACTTCCGTGTATACAAATTGAGTAGCTAGCGAACAACCGGCTCTTCTTACACTCGCGCGCCTCAYATAATTTCTTTGACAGACGCGGTCATACCAGTTACTATGTCCTTAAATACACAATCCAAAATCCTAGGGACCMTTTGCACTAATGTACATTTCACACTCTGTTACTTTAGTGTCTGCCATTGACGGGAATACCATTTCGTAGTAATATAACGCTCTTAGACCCTTTAAWSGAAGTTGGTGCAGTTATTAATTTTGAGATGGATATCAAAAAAACATAGGCGAGGGGGCAACCACCTTTGTTTGTGGTCTAGAGGGCTTCGAAGAACGCATCTGATAGGAAGTCTTGACGTCATATGACTAGCCTACATTGTATGCTGTAGCTAAAGCACATAGGTCACTGTAGTACAGTAATTGGTTTAGATTCAGTGTTATTTAAGAGAGACTAAGAGATTACAAAAGACTTTTACGTTACCACCCAATTCAAATCCTATGTGAAAAAGAACTTTTGTTTCTAAGAATTCAACTGTGAAATGAAAATACAACAAACAATGAAACTAACTCCCGTGTGTTTCGAATTGCTTTTAGCAATGCATTAGCAGATTAGGTCTATGGCCCACAATCACTTTAACCTATAGTTTAATAAATAATCTTTTTTTGAAACATCGAGGAGACCAACACCGACAAAAGACCAACACCGACAAAAGAAAATACCTGGAGTCCCTGGAGAACGTGAAAGCTCAAAACAACAAAAAGAACCTGCTTAATATTCATGCGGACATTTATTTTTGGAAGCCACTAATTAAATCCTGAGGAAGACGACCAAAATGGCATCGAAACGTCGAAAAGATACCAACATCAGTGAGTCAGACAGCTCAATGAGAGAACAAAGCAATAATAACACTAAACTCACTTATAAGGGTTTCAGATCTACAAAGAAATAATACTGTTCGACAAGTTTGTATATAGTCACAAGAACGGCACCTTGAGAGTTTTCCACTTCCTGAYATTTAGTACCAGAACTAATTAATTAATAACACAAGACAAATGT